TACATACATACATACATACATACATACATAAATACCTAAGAGAAGCATGGGGGTGCATGCTTGTAATCTCGGGCTGAGGCAGGAGGACAAGTTGTGGCCCAACCTGGGCAATTAGTGAGACCCTGTCTGAGGGGACAGGGAACAACTAGAAAGCTGGAGTTCACTGCAGACCTACAGGAACTGGAGACTAACTTTGGAAGGTAACAGCAAGAAACGAGCTCCTCTGAAGAAATAGGGTAGGTTCTTTCCTTTTTTAGTTTGTCCAGACCACAAGCCTGTTGGTTGGTGCCACCCACACCCAGAGTGTGTCTTCCCTCAATTTTTGGTCTATAATCAACCACAGACACACCCAAAGGTTTACTAATCTATTAGGGTTGGGTTTTTTCGGTTTTTTGTTTTTTTTTTTTTTAGACAAGCTCTCACTATATAGCCCAGGCTAGCCTCAAATTCATGGTGATCCTGCTGCTTCAGCCTCCCAAATGCTGGAATTATAGGCATGCACTATCACGTCTAGTCTAGAATTTCTGAGTCAGTGTAAATTTTTGAGGAGTTTCAAAACTGTTCCAAAGTGGTTATACCACTTTATATTCCTAAGAGAAATGCTGAGGATTCCAGCTTTTCCATATCCTTGGCAATGTGTGTTAATGTTTGTCTATCTTATTACAGCATGCCTAGTGGATGTAAAGAGGTATTGCATTATGACTTTATTATACTGCCTAATGACTAACGATATTTAAAAAACTTTTCATATGTATATTGGCCATTTGTATATTGTCTTTGGAGAAAAGTGTATTCAAATCCCTTGCCCATTTTTTTTTTTCTTTTTTTTGGTCTTTTTGAGACAGGGTCACGCTATGCAGTTCAGGCTGGACTTGAGCCCACTTTGTAGCCCAGGCTGGTCTTGAACTCACAATGATCCTCCTGCCTCAGCCTTCTGAGTGCTGGGATTATAGGTGTGCGCCACTATGCCCGGCAACACTCATGTTTCTTTCTGCCTTTTTTTTTTTTTTTTTAGGCAGGGTCTCACTATATATTCCAGGTGGGCCCTGAACTCACTATGTAACTCAGTCTGGCCTTGAACTTGTGGCAGTCCTTCTGTCTCACCCTTCAGAGTGCTGGGAGTACAGGCATGCTCCATCACAGGCAGCTAAAATTGGGATTTTTTTATCCAATATTTTTTTCTCTTAGTTTCTACATCAGTGCTCAGACAGGTTATATAGTCCTATTTTATGTGAGGAAACTAAAATAGAATAATCCAGGGCTGTAACTCCGCATGACTCAGGGTTGAAAAGAGGTTGAGGATTTTTCCTAGTTTGTGCTGCGTGTGCTGCAGCCCTGTTAACTACGTTTCTGGGTGAGCTCAGAACTCAGGGTTAGTGTTTCTGTCCTCTGACATCATGCTGCCGGTTTCCCAGCTGGAGACCAGGGTCCTTCCCGTCCCAGCCCCCTTTGCCTGTGCAGTCCCATTTTGTTTCCGCTAGAGGGAGCACCTAACACTCCACATTGGAACCACGGCTCTGCCTAGTGTCTGCTCCTTAATAGCAAGCAAAGCCGTAGACCTAGCAAAAAGTAGCTTTCACAAAAACAGAGAGTTGGCCCTGGAATTTAGCTCAGTGACACGAGCGCCTGCCTGCAAGCACAAGGTCCTGAGTTCGATTCCTAGTACCAAAAATATTGTAAAAAGTCGGACGTGGTGGCTCACGCCTGTCAGGAGGATCACCATGTGTTGGAGGCCAGCCTGGGATACATAGACCCTGTCTCAAAAAGACAGAAAAAAAAAAAAAAGAAAAAGGGGCCAGGGATACAGCTCAGCGGCACAGCGCCTGCCTGTCAAGCAAGAGGTTGTGAGTTTGATTACCAGTACTAAAAAAAAAAAAAAGAAGTTATTACAAAAATATTAGCGGGGGCGTGGTGGCTCATGCCTATAATCCCAGCACTCAGGAGGCTGAGACAGGAGGCTGACAGCACTCAGGAGGTTGAGGCCGGAGGATCGTCGCGAGTTCGAGGCCAGTCCAGGTTACAAAGTGAGCTCAAGGCCAACCTGAACTGCATAATGAGACCCTGTCTCAAAAAGAAAAAGAAAACAAAACAGAGTTTCAGTCTCCTGAGCTCAAAGTCACACCCTATGAAAAAGGTTTATGGGTTGGGTATAATCTTGCCTAGCATGTTCAGGGCAGTAAGTCTGATTCCCAGTACAGTACTGGAAAAAAAAATTACACTATAGTAGGAAAAAACCAAGACATTAAAATGTTTAGATGGTGTGAGTTTTACAGAAAATTTGTTCAGAGAATGAATTTTACAGAGAATTTGTCTCTGATTGCTTTGTATTTTACAGAGAGAATTTGTTCTGTACCAAACGCTAACTGGGTACAGTTGTACATGGGACATAATTCTTTCTAGTGAGGACACTGACAAGTCTTAAGTAACTTAAATTTAGCCCGGTGTGGTGGTGCACACCTGTAATCCCAGCACTTGGGAGGCTGAAGCAGGAGGGTTACTGAGAGTTCAAGGCAGGCCTGGATTGCATAGTGAATTCAAGGCCAGTGAGACCCTGTCTCCAAAAAAAAAAAA